TCATAAAGAAGTATTTATCTGACCCAAGCCTGGTTGTGTGAGAATGCTTCAGAACTGAGAGTTGGACATCGTGGACTTGACACCAACTGTCTTCCGTGACATTTTGTCATCTCTTTTTAAAGCTATGCAAGTTACTGGCTGTCACCAGCTCTCATAGTAACAAATTCCACAGAATATGTGTGCTCTATAGGGAAGTATTTTTTTTGCCTATGTTAAATCTCCTACCAATCCCTGACTGATTCCTGTTCCTAGTATTATTCAGAGAGGGAGAACAATCGTGTTCACTTTCTCCATTGCCATGCATGATTGTATACACTCCAGTCACATCCCCCCTTAACTGCTTTGTTCCAAGCCAAAGAGTCCTAAGCATTTTAGCTTTTTCTTACAGGGAAGATGGTTGGACCTCCTGATAATTTTGGCTGCCCTCTTCTGCTCTTTTTCCAGCTTTATTTTGGGGCAACCAAAATGGTCAGTGACTGACACACTATTCCAGACGCAGACATACCCCAACATTATAGAAGGGCCTTACAGTGTTGGCATTTTTATTTTCAGGCCCTTTCTTAATTATCCCTAGGATGGAATATATTTTTTTCACAGTGGTTGCACTCTGAGTTGGTATCTTCATCTCATTTTTTATAAGCTTCTCCTTATGTAGTCCAATGTGTGTGTTGGACCCCGTTGGCAGTTTTCCACTTGCATGTATACAAAGTGTAATAGCATTATGGACACTGTCTCCTGATGGTTTCATAACACTGACATCTCACCCCAGATCATAGTTGCCACTCAGAATTTAATCTAGAGTTGCTCCCCCTCTGCTTGAACCTAAGACGGACTATTTCAGTGTTTCTCACCCTTGGCAACTTTACGATATGTGGACTCCAACTCCCAGAATTCCTCAGCCAGCATACTGGGGAATTCTGGGAGTTGGAGTCCACACATCGTAAAGTTGCCAGGGTTGAGAAACACTGGACTATTCTAAGGCACAGTTATTTCATTTGGTTTCTTTGCTGTGGCTTGAGGACATTTGTATCCAGTTTAGGTGGGAGTAACTGAAGTTCTCTATGCTTACAGCAGCTTCACTTTTGCATACCTCTCTTGTTTG